CAACCACTAAATGATTTCAGCTGTAAAGGTGATGAATATAAAAGTTGTTGAACATATCACTATCTATAACTTTTATTTTGATCATCTTTTTATTTGATAAATTTTGAATTTCAATAAATGGCAATTTCAAACAAGATTTTAAAACCTTAAATGATTTCAACTACAAAAGTCGTCAATATAAAAGTTGTTAAAATCATCACTATCTACAGCTTTTATTTTGATCACTTCTTCATTTGATAAAGTGTTAGTAAACAATGTTCATAAATTCACATATCACTCATAGTTTCATGAACTATATGAGAGACATATTGATTTGTGAACAATGTTTACTATCACTTTGTCAGATGAAGAAATAATCAAAATAAAAGTTGTAGATCTTGACGAGTTATACATCTTTGGTATTCATTACATTTTCAGCTGAAATCATTTGGTATTTCAAAATCTTGTTAGAACTTGTCATTTTTTTAAATTTGAAAATTTAAATTGCTCAAACTTTGTCAAATGAAAATAAATACCTACAAATCGCCCCTACATACCGCCGGGAGAAACCATAGACTATTACCATCAGTAGGTTGATGGAGGGCCCATCGAGACAAGTGACATCTTGAAAACCTTATGACATCAATGGGTATACGTACTATACCCACGCAAAGGATAGTAATTGTGTAAACTAAAACAACGACGTTCGAATAGAATCTCCCGATGGAGTAGGGCGAAAGATTCAATACTTTGGCATCATTGAAGAGATATGGAAACTTGACTATGGAAGGGATACAACGGTGGCCCTGTTTCGATGCCGCTGGATCAAACAACACCAACTGAACGAGATCGGATTGAGAGTCATGGACCTCGAGAATCTAGGCTACCAAGATGACCCTTGGGTGCTGCTTCATGTGTCGCACAAGTTTTCTATATGCTTGACCCTCAAAGTAACCTCCCCCCGAAGAAGAAGACAAAGCATGTGGTTGCCTCCGGGAAATAGCACATTATCGAAGTTGATGGCGTGGACGGTGTTGAAGCTTACAATAACTACGATGAGATGCCGCTATTCACAGACTTTCCTAAGAAGATCAGTGTTGTGGAAAAGAACTTGCCCAAAGACATATTGCCATGGGAACAAAAATGTGTCAAGGAAAAAATCGTTACAGCGAGCTAGCTAGTTGTTGAACGTGGAGTGTTTGTGTAAGTGTGTATGTTTGTAAGACTTCATTTATGCATGCGTGTGAGACAATATATTTATGTATGTGTGTGAGACTATATATTTATGTATGTGTGTGAGACTACCCTTTGCAACATACAGATAAACCTATTGCAACATCCACTCTATTACTACTAAAACAGCTGTAACACGCAGACACTTGAAACAGACACTTATTACTACCGCAACATGTTCGGACTACTATTGAAACACTTAAAACAAGCACTTAACACTTTATGAAATGAAGAAATAACCAAAATATAAGTTGGAGATCTTGACGAGTTATACAACTTTGGTATTCATCACTTTTACAGCTGAAATCATTTAATGGTTGAAAATCAGGTTTGAAGTTGTCATTTTCTGAAATTCAAAATTTAAATTGTCCAAAATTAGTGATAAAGATAGATGACCAGACTAAAATGATAGAGCATGATTTTAGAAAAATTTATAAAAAAAACCATCACATTTGGAGTTAGTATGAGGGAGAAAAACTAGTTACAAGTTTTAGCCACGGATTAAAAAGAGAAATCATACTTGTTCATCATTAATCATCATAAATAGTTGTGATTTTTCTTTTTAATCTCTGGATAAAATTTGTAACTAGTCTTTCTCCCTTATACTAACTCAAAATGTGATGATTTTTTCCTAAATTTTTCTAAAATCATTCCCTATCAAGTTACTATGTTGATTTGGTCATTCTTTTTATTTGACAAAGTTTGAGCAATTCAAATTTTTAAATTTTAAAAAATAACAACTTCAAACCTGATTTTCAACCATTAAATGATTTCAGCTGAAAAAGTGATGAATACCAAAGTTGTATAACTCATCAAGATCTAAAACTTTTATTTTGGTTATTTCTTTATGTGACAAAATGATAGTAAACATTGTTCACAAATCAACATGTCTCTCGTGTATTTCATGAAACTATGAGTCATATGTGAATTTGTGAATAATATTTACTAATACTTTATCACATGAAGAAGTGACCAAAATAAAAGTTGTAGATAGTGATGAGTTCAGCAACTTTTATGTTCACGAGTTTTATAGTTGAAATCATTTAAGGTTTCAAAATATTGTTTAAAGTTACCATTTATTGAAATTCAAAATTTCAACTGTTCAAATTTGGTCAAATAAAAAGAAGACCAAAATAAAAGTTGTAGATAGTGATGTATTCAACATCTTCTATGTTCATGACTTTCTTATTTGAAATCATTTAAGGTTTCAAAATTTTATTTGAAGTTGATATTTATTGAAATTCAAAATTTAAACTGTTCAAATTTGGTCAAATGAAAAGATGACCAAAATATAAGTTGTACATCTTGATGAATTCTACAAATTTGATGTTTACAAAATTTTCATTTGAGGTCATTTAGTGGAGATGAAATTATTTTAGTTGTTTTAAATTTCAAATTTTCAATTTTTAAAATATTCTTTTTGTAAAGAACAAAATATAGAATTATATATATTCTATATCAAAAAATGTATATATAGATACATTTATATATATAGAATAATCAAAAAACAAATACATAGAATTATATATAAAGAAAAATGAATATATAGAACAAGTAATAAAATTTAATTGAAAAATATTTGTAGGGGCGGCTGGTGAGTGAGCCGCCCCTAGAAATGAATTTGTAGGGGTGGCTCAATTACCAGCCGCCCCTACAAATACTCTCTAGTATAAATATAGGGCGCGCTTGGAGGCGAAAATTTGGCTAAGTCTGGGCGCTTTTCTTCATGCGGACACCGTCAGCTGCCGAATATTCCTCCCGCCGCTGATGCCGTCTCAGTGCCCTAGCGCCGCTTCCTCTCACCTCCGCCGTCCTCCTGTGACCACCTCCATCGCCCGCCACGCTTCCTCCCCCAAACGCCGCCTTCCCCAGGCCGGCCAGCACGGCGGCTAGGGTTTGCGCGAGAGCTCACAATCCGCGTGGCTGCCGCCGCCCCGTCCGTTTTGGACCTCGACCTCCGTCCTCGTCGGACCTTGCGTGCCCGGCCGTGTGCTCTGGTAGTCATCCCCGCCATCGGTGGCGCCTCCTCTCCGACCTCGTCGGCCCTTGCGCGCCCGGCCGTGTGCTTTGGTAGTCGTCCCCACCAACAGCGGCGCCTCCTATCCGACCTCTCCTCTGGCCGCCATCCCTCAGCCAGCCCCCACGCATCGCCGCCGTCTTCTGCAGGTAAGCCCAACCCCTTCTTTTAGCTGCCGATTTCACGGGTTTTATTACTAGGGTTTAGCATGGCTTACTTGTGTTGGTTTCCCCTGTGATAATTTTGGAGAAGGCCATCATAAAGATAATATGGCTTTCGTGCATGCACATAATTGAGTGGCCTAAATATTAGATCTACTTGTTTTATGAATGCTGTGAATTCTAGGGTTCCAATGATGGGAAATTAATAGTCTCAGGAAGAAATTGTTGTTTTGCTTGTTAGGAACTGGTGAGCTTGCAGGTTAGTATCTATTTATTAAGCTGAAAGGTGGAAAATATAGGATGAATATATGTATATTACATACTTAGCATTCGGATCTCCTTCATTTGTTATTCTGTTGACACTGATGCTTAGATGGGGGGGGGGCGAGTCGGAGAGGTTGAAGAGAAATTATCGCTTTGTAATATTTCACAGATAAATAGACTGAGATGCTTGCATGGGCTGATTATGTGGTCCAGTTTTGTATGTGAATATTACATACTTAGCGTTTGGAACTCCTGCATTTGTTGTTCTGTTGACGCTGATTGGAACTCCTGCATTTGTTGTTCTGTTGATGCTGATGCTTAGGCGGTGGGTGAGTGGGAGAAGTTGAAGAGAAATTATTGCTATGTAATGTTTCTCAGATAAATAGACTGTGATGCTTGCATGGGCTGATTATGTGGTCCATTTTTATATATAAGATGTGCTTTTGCTCCACAGTTCAGTGAGTTCTGCTTTCCTGTTTTTTCGGTAGCTACAGTAATGCATTGCCACGTTTACTAAGCTGTGAATTTTAACTATAAGATAAGATAGGTTCTTGCTTGCCTGTACTCTTGTACAATGTTATTGACATTACTTTTTGATAGATTTTATTTTTTGATGCTAGCATTATAAGAAAGGGTGATAAGTGTTCATATATCACATATATATTTTAGTCAGTGAACATGCACTACTTACCACCTATTGCAATTGATCTGTGCAAATAATCCGATGAGTATTAGAAGGAAAAAAACATCACCTCTACTTATTTTGTGTCTGATACTATGATGAGCGTGATAACAACGGCAACGACACATCCGATACTAGCTACTAGTGAAGCCGCGATATCTGTGTCGCTCCTTTGTTCAAACTTGGTTTTTTAGTCCGTGTGAAGTTCAGACTTGCTTTCTCCACGATATCTGTGTCGCCCCTATGTTCCCCCTATGTTCAGTAGTCTGGCAGGTCATAGTAGCATGTCGTTGTGCTTTTCCTGTTGGCCAGCTGCTTGGTTCTTCTTTGCTAATTAGCAGTTTGAGCTTGGAATTTATTTCAGCATCACATCAGTTTAGTGCTTTCAGTTTCACATATATGCCATCATATAAGCAGATATGTTGAGTTTCAGTTTCAGTCATATAAGGTTTGGGGGTTTCAGTTTTGCATGTTGCATGCCGTACATAAATTTTAGAGCTCCTGAAAATTTAGTTATAGTAAACCGCGTCTTTCAGTTTCAATTATATTATGACTGCACACATATCTGCCACTATATAAGCAGATATGCTAAGTTCCATTTTCAGTTTCAGTAACTCAAGGTTTGAGGGTTACAATTATGCATATTGCACGTAGTAAATAAATTTTAGAGCTCCTAGAAATTCAATTACAGTAAACCAGCACGCTAAAACTAAATTGCATTGCTTTGAATTGTAATTTTCTTTAGACAACTATGGGCTTGTAGCTGAAAATTGCAGTGCTTGTCTACTTCTGTTGTAAAACTATGGGCTGCTATTTTATATTATCTATAAATTTCGGTGTATCTATGAATAGCTTCGTAAAGTTGATGACTCTGTTTATTATAAGACATGTTAAGTTTAGAACTTTACCCTTTTCAGCAGATATACAAGAGATTAGTAGATAACCTTTTACAGAATATATCATGTACCTCTCTAGGGTTGAGAATTGGAGTTTACTGGTTTGATACCTAAGCATAGCAGATTAACCAATATTTGGTTCGCACTTTTGTCAATATAAAACTGGTATGTGGCTTTACTAATTGAAACTAGCATGAAAAGTCGCATTGCACCAAGACAAATGAGGAACTCAAATTAGAAAAGGAGACATCACTTATTTAATATATACCTCATTGTCTGAGAGATAGCCATCAGGCACAACAAAGCTATCTTCATCCTCTTCATCTGTAATTTTGGAATCTTCCATAAATTCATCATTATCCTTCTCACAGTCAGAAAAGACTCTCACTAGGATCCTCCTGTGCAGAAAACAAAATATGATTTTTTTACCAAAAGAGAAGAAAAAAAGATGCTAGAATATCAGCAAGTACCTCTTCCCATTCATCATCACTATCAACCTCGTAGTCAAGATCAGGATCCATCTTAAGTGGACACCTTGGACCAATAACAGCACTGCAGATAATTTTAGAATAAATCATGATATATCACTAAAATATAAAGTGATGATAAATTATAGACAGCATGAATATTGAAATGCCAACCTTTTCTTCCTCCAGGATCCATAATACGCTGGCCTGTTACTTTTGTCAAATTGCAGAAGCTTCTTTCTAATTAATCTAGTTTGCAGAGGTTTAGGGTTACTGGTGCCATGACATTGCACCTCACTAGCCTGTAGCATATCAATGTCACTTTCAAGCTTATCTTGTTCATTCTCCTGACTTGAATTGTGGCCGCCATCTTCCTACGTGATAATACAACCAAGCATATTAAAGTATCTATCTAAATACTGAATTTTCCTGAAACCTTTTATGATGAGTTTGTCAATGTAAACTGTATGGCAAGGTAATTTTCAGTTTAGAAAATTAGTAGGCTTTGAATTGTCTTAATGCTACAATGTTTTTAGGCAACCACTATGTTTTACATACACGGGCTGTATTGGCTTGCTACTACTTTCTGGAAGAAAGAGCCTGTTCGGCAGGACTGAAAAATAAGTCAACATACTGTTCCAGTTGATTGTTGTGAGAGAAAAATATTGTTCTTACTGAAATCACTGTTTACGTGAATAGTGATTCGTGAGGGGGCTGCCCAGCCAGCCAGCCACCGGCCAGCCAGCCGAACAGCCCCAAAGTCCGGCTGCAATTTCTTTTCTGAATTTTTCTATTATGCTTGTCTCTCTTTCAGTTATGCATGGTAAAAGGGTAATATGATTGTGCTTGGCTGCTTGCAATTGCAGCTCTAGTTTTTTGCTATTTTTGCCATCAGCTGTTGCTCTATGTTTGCTAAGCGGTTGTTGCTTTTTTTTTTGCCAAATCTCCCCTCTCCTCTCCTCTCCTTTGTTTTGTCAATGATGAAATTGTCCAAGTCCATACATTATATGGAATATGAGCTGATGATCAAGAACTTGTGAGGAACTTAGCATCATTAGCAGCCGCCCCTACATTACCTTCTCATCTCTTCTCTGTTATGATGCCTTGATGCTCCAAGTTCATGATCAAATGATGATTGACATATTTTTTAGGCCTCTACTACTGCTACTACTCGTTTCTTTTGATATATTGTTGTTTTATAGGACTACTTTGGTTTATAGATCTTTTTGATTTCTTATACCTTCTCGCGTACCTAAAGCACACTTTCTTGCATCTATTAGAACAAAGCGCGAAATAATGTTGTGGACACCAGACAGTGCAGCCCGATGCCCCGAGCATGATGAGTAGCCAACCTATGAGGAGCAAGCACTAGAGGACTAGCTTACTCAGGAGCAGTTCAATAACGAGTTAGAAAAGGATCTAGAAGTGATGCTTACTCAGGAGCAGTGTGACGAGGAGGAAGGAGCAGCAGAAGGAAGAGCAGGAGAGGCTGCTGAAGACGAAGAAGAAGAGGATGATGATGATGAGGACTCGAAAGAGGGATATGTAAGTCCCGAGGATCCCTTCCCACATGAAGTCAGAAGGAGGCCAACGGAGGAAGATTTGGACAAGGATTTTGACCCGAACGAGAAGGTAGGGATAAAGCCTTAGCTTGTAAATTTTGCTAAAGCTTTGGCTGTGTTACCTCTGCTAACACTTTGACCTATCGTATATACAGGTCCCTCCTGAAACTCGGAAAAGACAATATCAACGTCCACGACATCTCGCTGGACAAAACGGAGTAGAGGAAAGGAGAGCAGAGGCAACAACCACAAAGACAGACATTGAGGCCTCTGCTCCACAACCTCAAGACACAACCATGACTACCAAGCCAAAGAGGAAACGAGGGGATAGAAAAGCAAATCAATATCCAGATAAGGCATGCTATGTGATAATGGAGGTCGGGCCAGGAGGGGAGATCCTTGAGTCGAAGGAATTTAGAGGACGATTCTGTAATACGATCGGGGCCCTAGTAAGAGATAAATTGAACCCAACAATCCCTAACTAGAAAGAGGTACCAGAGAAGAAAAAGGATGAACTATGGGATAAGCAGCTGAAGATCAATTTTAGATTTCCAAAGGGTAAGCACGAGCTAGTAAAAAAATGCTTTCAAGATCATGGGAGAGTCATTCCGACATTGGAGGTCGGATCTCAACAAGAAGTATATCCAAAAGGGGTTAACTCCCTTCAACGAGTTCGGCAACATAACTCCTAGTCAATGAGAGGAGCTCGTGGCTCAGAAGACTTCATCGGAGGCATTGGAGCTCAGTGCCCATAACACCGAGCTGGCAAAGAGGAACAAACACCACCATCATCTAGGCCCCGGTGGCTACTATGCCAAGAAAGTGTAGTTTAGAAAGATGGACAAAGAGGCCGCAACTGCTGGGAATATTAATGTGAAGAATTTGAAGGTACGCTCAAGGAATTGGATATATGCGAGGAGTACAGAATCATCCGACAGTAATCTTAAGTTTGATAAGCCAGAGACCCAAGAGACAGTATCAAGGATACTGAAATATGCTGAAGACAAGGAGAAGGGCTCATTCAATCCTTCCAGAGAGAGGGACGAGCTTAGCCTTGGCTTGGGAAACAAGGAGCACACAGGCCGCACCAGGGGGCTAGGGAAAAGGACGACCTAGAAACACGAATTTGAAGAGGACAAGCACATGTATAAGAAACATGGCATAGACCGGGAGACTAATCTTGAGCTCCAAGTGAAGGTTCTAGTTGCGAAGGCGCTGGAGGAGCAAGGACTATCTGCGGAGCTATAGACATTAATGAGGCCGCTAGGGGAACTGACATTAGTTGGTAGCCCTCCGAAAGTTCTTAGCTGCCAAGGTTCCACTGCAGCCACAACCCCCGTTGATCGCATACGGGAACCAACTAGTTGCACCTTGGTGTTTACCAGCGGCCGGCAAAACATTGTGATGGAGGTGGCAACGGGTGTGGCACATCCTCTCGGTGGCTTACACTACAATAATAGCATACCGCCGGACTACACTAGGGTCGAGGTGCATATCGTGAAGCCCGAGTTCATGCAGTGGAGGATAGACTACACAACTCCCAAGGGGCTGGTGTTACTCGGAGACGTAATGGGGCAGTTCATCCTCTGGCACAAACAGGATATTATATTGACTGCTTCTTCGCCGCCTCCCCCTCAACTAAATTTGGAGCGAGTTGTTGAGGATGGGGAGATATTTTCACCATCTCGGACCACCACATTCCTGAGATGCCACATTCTTCCCCACCTCCTAGCGAGCATGCGCCTGATAAGCCACAACCTTCTCCAGCTCCTACTGAGCAAGTGCATAATGAGATGCCATAGTCTTCTCAATAAGCACAGCCGATACATGAACAACGAGTGCCTCCTGAAGAAGGTTGTAAGGAAAATGGACCCTAGGCCCATTTACTTTGGATTTTGGTGCTTGATGACCAACACAACCAAATTGGACTAATGAATTTGTAAGTGATTGTTTTGTAGTTCAATAGGATGCAAGACATGACTTGGACAAAGGAGACGTGATGATCTGATGATCAACACCTCGACCAAGATCTTAGAAGCACAAGAGAAGACCCAAGATATCAAGCAAAGTCCAAGCATGAAGATAGGAACTAAGCCACACACAAGATCACGAAGAAACGAGCTCATAGTAGCCACTAGATGCTAGACCGGACGCTGATGCAAAGCGACAGGATGCTCCGATCAGAGACTCGGCAACAGCAGCAGCGACCGGACGCTGGACCGGACGCTGGCAACAAACTGACCTAACGCAGGACAACAGCGTCCGATCGAGTATAGAGAGGTTCCAGAGCGGCGAACTTGCGACCGGATGCGTTCGGTGGCAGGTGACCGGTCGCTGGCAGTGTCCGATCAGTTGTTCGCAGCTTCAACGGTCGGGATGACCGGACGCGTCCGGTCAGGACGTGATCAGCGTCCGGTCAGTAGCAGAAAAGCGGGATTTTGTCCCCCAACGGCTACTTTCTCAGTGGGGCTTATAAATACAACCCCCAACCGGCCAAATGAGGTGTGTGGAGTTGAGGAAACATATCAAGGGTGTTGATACACCATTTTAGTGATCTCCACTTGCATAGTGCTTAGTGTTTCATTAGGTTATTAGCGTAGGTGCTTTGCGAAGTGCTTCGGTTGATTAGACCACCTCTTATGCACTTGCTCTAGGTTTAGGCCTAGTGTTTAGTGAGGTTTACATACCTCTTAGCACTCGGTGCTTGAGCGCACCATTGTTGTACATCGGAGGGGCTTGTAGTCTTGCGAGATCACACCAACCGTGTTTGTGGTGTGGCCGCCACCGTGTACCAGAGGGAACAAGGCCCCGACGTTTTGGCCGGAAGCTTGTTAGTGAAGACGGCAGAGAGCATCTGGGAGAGGCTTGCCGGAAGGCACGTCGGAGACCCACTTGCGTGTGGGGAAGGCCCGAGGCTATCCACGGAGTTACCCGACCGGGAGCTTGGCCCTTGCGAGGGATTCCTTGCGAGGGGCTCCAACGAGGACTAGGGGGAAGCTTGCACGCTTCTCGATACCTCGGTAAAAATACCGGAGTCATCGATGGGAGTTTGCATATCTCTACCTTGCTCTTTAGCTTCCACATTTACATTGATTACATTACTCTTTTTGCGGTAGAGATAGCAACACATTAGCAAAACTGTAGTTGCATATTTAGATAGTTTATCTTTTGCATAGGTTTTGCTAAGGGTAGAAAAAGAGGCCATAGTTTAGAGTTAGAATTTTAAGTTGCCTCATTCACTCCCCCTTCTTAGGCGTCATGGTCCACTTCAATTGGTATCAGAGCCAGTTGGCTCAATTTGGACCTTTGGCTTAACCGTCGTTGAGCCGATGCTATTTAGAGTGGTTGGGATGGATACCTCTAGGCCTCCGCACTTTGACGGCACTAACTTCCCCTATTATAAAGCTAGAATGGCTTGCTATCTTGAGGCAGTTGATTTGGGAGTTTGGAGAGTCACTCATGACGGGATAAAACCCATTAAGAATCCCGATAAACCCACAAAGAGTGAAGAAAAGGAAATTCATTTCAATGCTAGAGCTAAGAATTGCTTGTTTGAATCATTTAGCATGGATGTGTTTAACCAAGTGTTCACTTTAAATATGGCACATGAAATTTGGTTAAAACTTCAAGAGCTCCATGACGTGACAAGTAATGTTCATGAGCAAAAACATTATCTAGCTAAACAAAATTATGATTCCTTTACAATGAATGATGATGAGGTCGTTCGTGATATGTATTCTCGTTTAAATCTAATTATCAATGAGATCCATTCAATAGGATTAACAAAGCTAGATGATGCAGACATCAT